TAAGAGGGGTGTATACACGAATGGCTTCACACTAACAATACCTGTCCACACGATAGGAAACCGTTAACTACGAGCGGGTTAACACGACCACCAAGGTACTGTTAAAATATTATATCTAAATAATAAATTACCAATTAGCCTAGCTAAATTTACAAGGATTTATGTGAAAATGTATATTTATTCAGGGCACTCGTAAATATGTTACAAAGTTTGAAAATCAGTTGTGATTACAAAGATAAAGGTTGCAAAGAGGTTGTCAAATTGGAATATTTGACCCAGCACACAGTCGGTTGCAAATATAATGTTAAGAAATGCTCCAAGTGTACTTGTACTGAAAAGCCTGGTCATAATTGTGTGCAAGAATTACTTGCTTTGCTTAAGGATGCAAAGTTGCAAATAAGTCAACAGAATGTGGAAATTAATAAATTAAAAAAGGAGTTAGATTTAACTAGGTCAAATATCTCAGGCATGTCACCAGCGAGAGCTCAAAATACTACCCAAAATTCAGAGGTAATTGAAATTAACAGGTATTTGATAAAATATTATTTTTCATGTATTGTAGGTCGATGATGCTGCAATATTGAACTCAGCTCGCACAAATATTTTGGATCATGAAATTATTCGATGCGATGACGATATGACTGAGAATATAATGCAATTCATTCGCCAATATATTCTTGAATACAATTCATTTTATGAATTTTCTAAGAATTTGAAAGAAAAATTGGATTATGAGCTTGGTGATCATTGGCACGTAATCGCTGGCAAACGACTGTGTGCTGGGTCAAATATTCCAATTTGACAACCTCNCGATTCCTCCTATAGTTATAATAGGTTTTACTTACGCGTAGTGTTCGATCGATTGAGTATTCAAATCTACGATACACATTCGGTAAGTTTGAAACCTATACGTTATTAAATTTATAAACTTAAATTTTGTTTCTAAACATACATACAGGGCTATTTTGATCATTTTAAGCGGAGGTTTCAAAGTGGAAAAATAAGGCGTGAATTTGATATTATAAAAAACGATATGAATGAAACTATGCTATTGGATGTGAAAATGATTGTATTTGATGCCATTGATAAAAGTAATGATTTTGGTGAGGTGACAAAAAATATTGGCGCTGAAATGATAAGCAAATACCCTACTTATATCTGGCAAACAAGTACATTAGATTTTTATGGCAACTCTTACATTGTCAAGGAAAATGGGACACGCATAAATTTTAAAATAGGAAATGTTACCTTTCTTATATTTGGAACTAAAAGATAAGATAATTAGTAGTAATTACTAATTACTAGAGACTTCTAAAACACAAACAAATATTTTTAGCGGTAAGAGGTATGAACCCAGAGATCAGATATCTATACGAATCATATAACAAGAGTTTTTCACATAAATACATAAAACCACATATTTTTATTCAGTGTATTATTTTTTATGAATAATTTTAAAAATTATTGTCTTTTGCTTTCAATTATACCTCAAAATTATT